TACTGCATCAAGCAGAGATGGACACTTGATCCATTCTCATCCGTGTGGAATAGGCCGTTGGAAGGAGCATTTTGAAGAGCAGTTCAGTTGGTCTTCAGAAACATTGTCGTTTGCTGAGTCACCTGAGCCCAAGTGGAAAGTTGTTATCAAACCTTTGATGGAGATTCGGCATGAGTGTGCCTGGCGAAACAAGCACCCTAGACCCGACAACCTTACTTCACCTTTGTTGAAAGATAGGGGTGAATCTTTGTTGATCTATTAAACACTAGTTGGGACACTGAAGAGAGGTTTTCAGACTGGCGACTGTCAATCGTCGTACTCATCTTCAAAAAAGTGTAGCGTACTTTGTGCGCATATCATCGAGACAACGATACCGCCCACACAATTGTATGCACCGACTTGCCAGTGCCTTCCGACGGACGTCCGCAAAGGCGATGTGAGCGCATAGACACCCACCGACTAGCAAAGCCAGATGTCTGAATGCGTATCAAAGTACGCCGGCATCCCGGTTGAGTAAGTGCACACTGGAAACAGGGAGATTACTGGTCGCTTATCCGCCAAGGATCATTGGCAGGGGGCATGTCTTCATGTGGCAAATGAAATTGGCAACCTGGACATTGGGTCTCTACGCGGTCTCTAGAACTCATGGATGTTCGTCGACGTGTTCCGTTGGGAGCGAACACAACGGGACAAAACTGTGTGCTAGCCTGGAGAGAGATTGCGAATCCTTGTAGTCTCATTGTGCCTCAGCGATGGAAAAGCCGGTGTTCCTGGTAAGAATTTTAAGTTATTCCGCCTGGTACGGGAAACGGATAGCAGGAGATGTGGTGTTAGTTGAACCATGCGCAACGAGAATAGACAGCCATTCCACAATTTGTCAAAATGTTTTCAGTGTTGGGTCGAATATTATGAAATCCCGTTTAATCGACCATACATACATACATATCGGCCGTTGATCCCAGTTCTCTTAGCTGCGTCCTTTTGGATCCGCCCTCACGCGCAGAAGTTGAAAAAGGCTGCAAGTAGGTGGACTTCATCCAGCCCCCTTCAAACTCGGGGGGCTTGCTCTTATGGATGATTGGCATAATTTAAGTGAATTCATGGGAGCAGAAGACTGTCCCAACAGACTGGAGCCACTCCGTCGTAGTTCCAATTTTCAAGGGAGTCTCACGTTCGGAATGCGGCAATCATGGAGGAATCAGTCTGATTTCAATTGCTGCTGTCGTCCTCTATAGACTGACTGGCCCCGGTGAAAGCCAGATTCGCCATCAACAAGCCAGATTTCGACAATATCGAGGCTGCATTGACCACATCTGCTTTTAAGGTCAGTTTTTAGAACACCGCCATATCTATTAGTGATCATAAGCAGTAGTTTCTCGACATCAAACGTGCTTTCATTCGGTGAATCAGTTGCGCTTTGGGACTATCTGCTCAGGAAAGATGCGCATTATAAGTATGTGAATAAGGGGGATGTACGCGAATAGTTCGGACAGTGACGGTATATGGCAAACTGTTATTCCCCTTTAACACATCCAGCGTTGTGAGACAAGTTTTCCCGCAGTCCCCTTCCTACTTTAGCTTATCAATTGATGAATCCATGAAAACAACTTTCATGCAGGCATTTCCCTTGCGGTAGCAAGTACGTAGGCCGAACTAAGAGAAGGCTGTCAGCGAGGATTGCAGAGCATGTTCCGCGAAACATGATTGCTAAGGGTCCGAAGCTACCAACTAGCTCTATTGCCCGCCACATACTAGACTGCCCTGAATGCCAGAACCCACGTGGCAATTTCAGGGTAGTTAGCAAACAGGCTAATCCCCGTTTACTACAGTTTGCGGAGGCGGCAGCAATTCGGCGGCTGAAGCCAAAGCTATGCAAGCAAACGGATTTCGTGACCACGCTAGCCCTACCCTGGTGAGGCTAGCGATTGCGTTTTCCTCGGAACAGGTCACGTGAGCCTAAAGACCTTCGACCGCTTTGAATTTTTGCTGTTAACATCGCACTGTTTTCCACTCATTGTATGTAAACAGCTGAGGAGAATACGCGAAATTACTGAATTCAGTAAATTCTGTTATAATGTTATTTCTTCTTGTTTTATTGAAACAACTTTCGCTGGGCACAACCTACAAAGTCACGAAGACCTAACTCGCAAAGCAGCGGTGCGGTTGACGTATATCGTAAATCATTAGGCGAGGATAACATGACATTTGAGTAGGAACAAACTACTCAGGAAGTCACAGGAGCCCGACTAAAGCAGAAGAGGGGACAGAAATTACTCGTACAACGGAACTCAACAGTGAGCATGAAGGTCGATGATAGCCAGGTGAGTCAGACGCCCTCATAGAACGCGGTGGCCATCGAGGTTGTTCATCCGTCTCTCGCTGGACCCTCACTGAATATGAACTAGATGTAGTAGATGGAAATTGGGTATTGCCCACCCGAAAACACCCAATTTCCATCTGCTTCGACTACAGTGCTAGTGATCGCAGTGACTAAGGTTCACTTCAATATGAGTCGCGGTCCACAATGAGACTAAGCGTCCGAATCCAGACACATATGTAACCCAAATGCGACCCTCCAATGAACTAGACGTAGTTTACCAACACTTATGTCGTGTCCACCAGTTGTTTTTTCTAGTTACAATTATACAAGAAAATGATACAGGAAAAGAAAAAGAAAAGCATCAAAAGTACGCCGGTACGCAGTAACGACGCTTCACTGCCGCACAACCATCACCGGTCGCACGTGGGTTAAGGATGCTGTGAGGGTCGCCATGCCTCTACGCAGGCTAGAGCCCGCGTCGTCAGATTGTAAGACAAGCTTGTTACCTTTAAGCTACGCTTGCGCCAACCTTTATTCAGTACCGAATAACCAGACGCGTGGTGCTGCATGTTTCGACATGCGCTTTGCACCTTCAAAGTGTAAGGTATTGTTGCAAGACTAGGCCGATACCACACCGACTTTACCTACCAGCGAACAACTTTTAGAAGTGGCTGATCGATTCACTTGGTAGTTTCGTCACTTCTGGCGGTCACGACACTGAGGAATTTACTTCGCGTATCAGCAAGCCTCGTGTAACTTTCCCGAGTCCTAACCATCTAGAGAGATGACGGGATATCAGTCTACCAGTGAAACGTGGGGTGTATAACGCTGCGAGAAAACCGGTGCTACTGTCTGGATCAGCGACCTGGCGAGTTCGCACTGATGACATTAAACGATTGGCCGTGTTTGGCCACCGATGCTTACGGAGCACTGATCACATCCGGTGGGAAAAGCGGGTGAGAAATGATGAGGTCCGCCAGTTGATATTTGACAATAAGTCCCCCGGTGCCTTACTCGAATACTTGCCTAAGCTCGACTGTTTACGTTGGTTAGGTCATGTTCTCCCTATGCCGGTTGACCGCGTTTCTTAGTGTGCACGCCGTGTGTACGCCATGGCTGCACCAAGTTGGGTGAAACCGTGAGGTGGCCATTCATGACGTGGCATAAATATATGGAGAAATTGACACAGAATTGGTCAGGCTGGTGCATGGCGACCCCAGGATGGTCCAAAGCAGTAGCCGGGAACCGTATGAGACATAACCCTGTCGTGCATTCATTGGCGCTCTAGCGTTAGGTTCCTTACATCTAGCTGTAAATTTTCATTGCATAACGATTAGCCTTGCGCTTTTCTGTACTCATTACACCTTACTTTTATTCTACTTGCATTCGTACAAATGCCAAGTACCGCCAGACAGTTTATTACTACAAGGTGCCTATATCTCGCAATGCAGGACAATTCGCGACTTGGGCGTGCGATATTCAGTTACGTTTAACTTTTCTGAACACTGTGACTTCCAAGTTTCGAAAGCCATGAAGACCATTGGTTATATCTGCCATCATTTTTACCTCACGGAATCTCGCATATCCCTTTACAAAACATATGTATTGCCGTGTATGGAATACTGTTCAATGATACAGTCTAATCTACGGAAGTCTGACCAGCACGCTCTTGAGAGGGTCCAGAGACGCTTCACGAAAAAGCTATGTGGATATTCCTCAAAGTTGACATACAAGGAGCGATGCGATAAACTTGGATTTGACCCAGTTTGGCTTCGGATAATGAAGCTGAACCTACGTTTTATTTACAGAATCATAAATTGTCAAATTCGCAGTCCTGAAAACGGTGTTCACATATCTGTAAACAACAGATACCCAATACGTAACAAAGAGGTAAAGATCATGATTCCAAAATTTTCTACGAGAATCAGAGAACATTTCTTTCTAACCCAATACTCAAAGATTTGGAACAAACTTCCAAGTGATATCAGAACATGCTATACTCTTTGCAATTTAAAGCTTGTTATTAGTAAGCATTTAACCGTCCAAAACGTGATTAAGATGTTCGGGACATCACAATCCCTAGATAACGCATTCGAAAACGGTATCCATGGTGCCTGAATAAATTTCTGAAACACATACACATAACATCTCGGACAACAGCCCCTTTCATTACATTTTTTTCTCTCGGCCCAAATATCTATCATGTGATTGTAAAGAATCCTGATTCAGTGGCAGGTAAAAATAGCAGAACGATCCTGATTACTCTGTGTAACATAATTTGCAATTGCATCCATGTTTATCTCTGAAAATGTATTGATGAAATGTCATGGAAAAGTTGTACCATTATTTGATCTGTTCCTTATAGAGAACAGCTTCTCGCATAGTCGAGGAATATACAATTTATTTTATTTTAGCTACTTGCATTCGGCTTCACTTTATAACTATTGTTATGTATTGTTATTCTGGGGACGAGAATCGTGGCAACCGGATCTACTGCACTCCAGTGACCGTATCATAGTTGTTCAGCTGAAATGAACTTATTGGAATAAAGTAAGCAATAGAAGGAGATTACGCTAACTGACGGCAAACTCATGCCAACAGGCAATAACCTTTATGATAATAGCTTTAATGACGGACGTGTAGCTTTTGGGATTGGAAATAAATCACTATAAATGCTCACCAAATGTCCGTCGTAAAACGAATAGGATTGTAATCCAGGATTTCCGGAGCTGCAAAAACATGATAGAAGGAAAACGAGGAGTGAAAGGCAATGCACGGGACTGCAATAATGGAATAAGACAACTGAATAGGTGCGAGAATGTTTCGAAAAATGAAGCTGTGAATAATAACCTGAATACGAAAATATTGCTTAACACCGGAAGCCAGCATGCCGTTTCAAAAGGATAGCACTAATAAACATAAGCAAATAAAAACGTGATGAGGAACCTAGAAGCACAAAAATTGAAGAAGAATGACGAGCTAGAAAAAGGCAACCTCTGATAAAGATATACCTTTAATGAAAACGAGTGAGTGACAGCTCGCTAGGTACCTGGGCTCGTAAAAAATTTCAACCAAACTCACTAGCAAAATATGCAGTGAGTCTAGAATGAAAGCAAAACGCTGAAGATCCACACCATGGAAATAGAGTGCTGGCCAAAGCATCATGTACAAATTTCGAGGGGTATGACTAACCATTCTGTGATCTCCGGAATTTCCATTGCAATCAAATTTTAGATAGCGTAGATATGCCCCTTACTTAGTAGCATAGCGGCTAGTGAGACAGACCGTTTAACACAAACCGATTGAGACAATAATGATGTTGAGAAGATGGGGCACCTGATCAGTAAATTCCGATATCAAGTCCCTAGATCGACCAGAAAAAAGGGAAAAAAACGATGCATCCAATATCACAGTAAGGTGTATCCTTACAATGAATAACGACAAGAGTTCGACAAAAATGACTCCGTGGTTGACGAGCACCACAGATTAATTCACATTAGCGCGCTACGAAATGCGCTGGTAAGCCCAGGAAGTGCAAGTTCTCCACCACGCGGACATAAAATCCCGGCCTTATACGCTAATCGAATATACTGACACCCCTCATCACACACACCTGTGCTTAAACTCATTCGATCCAACATCATCAGCGCTAATTAGTGCATTTCATCTCTCGAGTCTAACTTATGTGGATCATCTGCAAGCTCAACAACGCGGTTTTCGTATTATCCCCAAGGAAACGCAATCGAGGAATTTTCTGAACACAGCAATAATTGTGGTCCGAAACGAAAGCCAACTCAGAAATCTAGACGACGAGCCTGCAACCACAGCTGTCGACCCGTCGTTTACTCGCTTTAGAGATTAAGTAGCAAACCATCTATCCGTTAAATCCTAGTCTGCCAGCTGTGGACGCACCGAACGCGTTGACGTTGAAACTACAGCGACAGATAGGCAACTACACCACTGACCAAAAAGGCATCGATCGACGCAATGATTCGTAACGACCAATCAATAGTTTCATCTTACTCCCCACCAAGACTGACAGTAGTAGCTGACTTTTCTTCATGCCACAAAATATACGAACGGGAATTCAGTGTTTAAATTACCACAGCAAGTTTTGTTCAAAAAGTTCAAAGCTCACAGTAAACCAGTTGAAGAAACAAAATAGTAAATCAGATTCTCTGTGGTTCTGTAAAGTATGTATGGTTATCCGAATGGTAAATAATGAGCGTGAACTAGCGCAGAAATACGAAAGACTGGTGACAATGACTGAACAAATGCGAAACACCAAAATTCATTCATATGAGGAAACTGAGCAAACCCCAACCATTTCCATTAGGCTCTGCTGCACAACAGCGGGAGTGTGCTGGACAGAGCATTACACGTGTGTCCACTGTGACTTTAAAGTCAACGCAATCAGTTGCTCAAATAGGCCTAAAACAACCACCGCCAGTCTGATCGAAATAAGTGCGGTCAGGGCCTCATCCACTCTTCAAACTGTACCAAAATCTCAGAACGTCGACATTGTTGGTGGTTGGAACATGATTTCTGCTAAAACCAACCAGAAACTTACGTCTTCAGTTACCCTCCACTATATCTAAGGTAAATGAAAAAGGCGAAATCGTATTTCAACAGCCTCAACCGGTTGTATGCAGACCAGCTGGGCGGATGACATCAAACTGAGCATCACATAGTGTAGCACCAGTAATTTGCACCAACATTCCAGAGTCAACGTCGAATTCCTCAAAAGGAAAACAATCCGAGGAGGTGAACCAGTTGAACTCCATATGTGATATCATAGGTGTTGTAGTCAAGTCCGCCAAATTGACACGGATCACGTGTCACCTAAACTCACAGCACTACGGTGAACCGAGAATTCTACATATTTCATTGATTTCCGCTGGTAAAGTAGAAGCTATCCTATTGTCGACAGCGTGCCTTCGGAATCTGTCATATTCCATCCACATCTGCCGGATAGTCCGTGGAGCGAGTGCAAATAGGCGAAGCATGAGTTGGAAGAACACCGAAAGGAATCTGTGGCTAGGATCACCCCTGTACACGGGGTTCCCGTGGCTGGAGGTCACGATGAGCGTGAAGCGACCGCTCACAACCACGAGCAGTGGCAGTACATTCGAGAGACCCTGTCGCTGGAAAATGTCATAGCATAATCGATATCGAGGCTATGCAAGTCGCTAAATTACAAAAGAAATGGTCGTAGAATTGTGCAAGCAGTATTTCAACCCAGACAAATGTCGACGAGAGTGTTAGAAAGTTGGTATACCGGCCATAGCAGCCTTCCTTTCGACACACTCACAGAACTTGCTGGGGATGCCATCTGGGATTTTTCGGACAATAGCTCCATTGATACTGCATGGACAGAGTTTGCTGGCTAGTTCAGCGGTCTGATTAAATTCGCATCTGTAAAAAGGCCTATTCGTTCTACAAAAGCGCCGTCAATCATTAGCAGCAGAACCCGAAAATGCATGGCGTTAAGAGGCGCAGCGTGGAATGTGGATAAGGCGAACCTTAATCCTGACAACTGGAGCTACAATGTAGTACATCGTTATCACTGTATCAACTTTGTGCATGAGGACAATTTAGCACATCAGCAGAGCCCAGCAGAAAAGTTTTGTGCTAACAACTAACTTCTGTACAGATATGTGAATAGCCTCTGGAATGTAAAGCGTGGTGTTACGCCATTTACCTAAGCAAATGGATGTGCTCAAACCGCCGAGGCAGCTGACGTTTTACGACTGAAATATGCTTCAATATTTCGTTGTGGCACCAACACATGCCACATACCTGTCTCATTCCCTCAGAGGATAATATTCACACACATCACTTTTAGTTCAGCGACCGTTTTGAGGAAGCTGATATCGTTGCGCACTCATAGCTCCCGCGGTGTTGACAACATTACCCCAAAAGCGCTTCAGGTGGCAGCTACGAGGATAGCTGAGCTATTAGCTCGAGTTTTCCAAAGATGTTTGGATGAATAGCAGGTCCCCAATGTTCAAGGGTGGCATCCGTTCGGAGTCCGTCAAATATCGCCCAGTGATTCTCCTCCAAGTGCTCTCAACGGTGATGGAGTTGATCATAGCTGAGGCCCTAATGGGCTACTTTGAAAGGTTTAACATCATAGCACAGGAACAACACGGATGCCGTCAGCATCGATCATGTACCTTCAAACTTCTGATAGCGCGTGGCAGTTGGACCAAAATAGCCGACAAAGGGACCGGTACTGATGCCCTCTACCTCGACTTTTCTAAAGCCTTCGACCGCTTAGATTGCATCCTCTTCCAAAAGCTGTATAAGTACGAAATTGGGGGCCCGGTCCTCGGGTGGGTCGGAAATTTCCTCCTCCGGCCGCTGCTTCAGGTTTGGGTTCATTTGCTGATACTATCGACGTGGACTGCGGTATCGCACAGGGATCGGTATTGGGGCCACGCCTACTCCTGGTCTTCCTCAACGACGCCGCACGTGTCATCGAGTCAAATTTCCTGCTTTCTGCAGATGACATCAAGATATAGCGGGTGATCGGTTGCCAAGACGAGCACGACATGTTGCAGACTTACACGGTGCCTTTGGATTGGCAAAGGCAAATCTACTTCCGTTTAAGGACGACAAGTGCAAGACTCTACATGTATGCCACAGGCCCACTTACGTATAGAAGCGAGGACACAAAATACTGAAAACCGTTTCACAGGAGTGCGACCTTGGAGTAGTGATGCATGACGACCTCGGCTGTTCGGTGCAGTCTTTGAAGGTGTCCAAAACTGCAGACGAACACGCTGGTCTCTAACGAAGGATGTTCGGGCAGTTGGACCCTCTAGCTTCCACCAACTATTCAATGTGTACATGAGGCTCCATGTGGAGCGCACGATTCAGGCTTAGCAACGCTGGTTAGAACGCAATCTGGTTGCACTGGATACAGCACAGCGAAGGACAACGAAAAAGGTGGAGGGATTGCTCCACCTGCCATACCAACTGCGACTGAAAACTTTAGGTGTACAGCAGAAGTAACCGCCGCCTAGGGGGCGACCTCATCTTGGTGTAACAGATCTTGAAAAAACTCCGGTCACGCTTGCCGCCACCTGAAACTTAACCGCAGAATATATATATGTTTATATATGTGTAGATATATATATCATCAGCAGTCTATAAGAGAGACATAGAGCCAGCGAAAACTATGTAAGGGAAGTAATAAATACAGAGACCGCAACGAAAAGAATGAAAATTGCAAAAGTCTCCTTTTTCGGCTTGTTTTTCACACGCCGTTTCAGCTATTTTGTCTGTTTAATGTTTGCGATATAAATCAAGTAAAGCAATACAAACATTTGTACACAGTTTCCAATGAGCCCGGTTCTGTGCCATATCCGAAAGAGTTTCCAGCCAGCGACGTTCTACCACTTTGATCCCTCAGCCTGGAAGAAGAACAGGACCTACGACTGACAAACTAAAAGTTTGTCCGCCACGTTATAGGCTGACCACCGAGCGATTTCTTCCAGCCTGGTCCTATGCGAGCGAAGAGAGCGCGCCGGTGCAGCCGTTTGCATGGCATGCGCAAAAGATGTCCCAGCCACCTCAGTTGGCACAGCGATACCAGTCTGTCAAGTGGAAGTCCCGTGTTACCCAAGACGCGAGGTCTAACATCAATGCGTACGTGGTACATCCACCACACTCGAGCAATTCTCCGCAGACATCCATTGTCAAAGGCCGAAATCCGCCGCAAGCC